TGAGTCATTGCTCACTTCTTCAGATACCAAAAGGGCGACTGCAGCCAAGAAATCAGAAAGAGCTTGAAACTGGGAAGGGCAACCATGAAGGAAATAGAAAATAGTCTTAAGTGTAGGGATGTGTTGGTGGTGACCAAGATCAAGATAATTCATGCCGTATTATTCTTCATGGCTATGTATGGATGTGAAAGTTGGACAATGCAGAAATTGACAGGAAGAAAGTTGATTCCTTTGAAATGGGGTGTTGGAGGAGCGTTGTACAGATACCGTGGGCTGCCAAAGAGATAAATAAGTGGGTTCTAAGTCAAATTGAACTCTGCTAGAAGCTAAAATGACTAAAGTGAGGCTATTGTACTTTGGTCACATTACGAGAAGAGTCACAGGAAAACACAGTAATGCTAGGAAAAGATGAAGGTAGCAGGAAAAGAGGCAGACCAACATGAGATAGATTGACTTGATCAAAGAAACCGTAGCCTTCAGTTTGCAAGACCTGAGCAAGATTGTTAATGACAGGATGTTTTGGAGGTCATTCATTCATGGCAGGGGTCCCAACAAGGTGCTTTTGGGTGCCATGATGCCTGCCGACACCTTTTCTGGCACCTGCCAACTGTTTTTAGAAAGTGGGCACAGCCAAGTAGGGCTATTGCTTGGCAGGGCTTCTGATTTGTATTGGGGATCTAATCGGCTGCACAGGTTAAAATAACATTGTTTCAGCGCATGCTGCCACCATAGTGTTTGTTTTATTCTCTCTCTCCTCTTTTCTGGAGCATTTTTTAAAATTACTGTCCTTGTCTGCTCTATTTGGATTTACTGTGTGTGTGTCTCTCCCCCTGCAGTGGCCATTTTGTGGTTGCACCCACCAACGTGTGTGACTAGCCCAGGAGGGTCAGCCCAGCTTCCAAAGTAGAGTGGCTATTCAAACCCAGATCCTAGTCTGATACTCCAACCGCACTACACCACACTGGCTCTCTTAGGGTGATTTTTTAAAAAATATCTATACACAACAGAATTGGAAGTGTGTATGTTTTTGCACTTCAAGAAACACTGCATCAGCTAGCTTCAGTTATATTCAGGTGGCTAGCCATGTTGGTCCAAAGCAGCAGAACAAAGTTTGAGTCCAGTGGCACGTGGCACCTTTAAGACCAACAAAGTTTAATTCGGGGTATAAGCTTGTTGTAACATGAAACGTAAACAGCTTCTAAATTAATATACTCGCATAACTTGAAAGTTTGCATTCTCCCTCATCAACCAAAGTAAGTTCAGTGAAAGATTATCTTGCTTCAGATTGTAACATGCCTTGTGTTGTCACTCTCACAGGAACATAAAGGGAGTCATTACCTCTCAAGCGACAGATAGCGAGGTGAACTTTCCACCTCCAACGTACACAACCTTTGGCTCCCCTCCACATCACATGGTGGATGAAGTGACAGGTAGGTGACAGATTTATAGCATGAACAAGAGCAACAAAAAGTCCTTAAAGGATTAATTCATTGGGGATTGAATTCAAGGTACTTGCTGATCTAATTCGATTGAAAAAAAATATCTAGCCTGCACTAATCTCGCCTATTCCTTAGCTGGGGCCTAATCAACAGAAACCATGCCTATTGAACTACATAGAAGTCTGATTCCAACGGAAGCAGTGTGAAGTGGACAAAAAGGGAACCCCTCAGTGCCAGTTTGAGAGGAATCCAAAACATCCCAGCTCATCCCCAACCAACCAATTCCACACCGTTTTGAAGGGACAGAGGGTAGGTCAGTTCGCCCCAGCAATGCCTGCTGGGAGCAAAAGCCGAGGAGACTATTTAAGGCCCAAGTCTTCTTTAAGCCACTGAAGAAGCACCTTGGAAACAGGATTAGGATCACCAAGCATTCAGATAAATCCACGTTTGAAGCAAAGTAGAATTTATTAAAGCGATGGTTACACAGGAACAATAGGATTGTTAGGAATGGACTCTAACTCTCGGGTACAAGATAATAAACACAATCAAACCAGGCCGTAGCCAATGGGTCAATTTCCCGCGAGCGGGAAAGCCGGTGAAATAGGCGCTCAAAACCCCTGGGAACAAAACGGTCTTAAAACTAAACATTCATTCGTTTCTCAGGCCCTAGTGCATAATCATCAAAAGAACGCCACAACTCCTTTCAACCTCCAGTACTTGACCTTGAGCATTATCTATGTTCCATAGCAGACCTCACATACATGGAAAGGAATTTACCTAACGAGCACAGTGGAAGTGATAGGATGGTACAGCAGATGCAGGGAGGGGGTTTTCGGGATGAATGCAAATCAAAGCCTAATATGTTACACAGAACTCCATGGCAGCTTGCTGACACCAATCACCTAGTGGCCGCATTTTCAAATTAACACCCGGAAAGACAAGCTCCTTGCCTTATGAACAATTTGTACTTTTTCATGTGATTCCTTAACAATTTGGCCATGGCGGATGTGTTGAGAGCTATTTTATGTGCAATATCACATACGAGATATATGTTGGAATGCAGAGGAAAGAACCCCGGATTTACCATAGTTGTGCTGGTATTGATCAAAGGGTCACACAGCACCTGGTTCTTCTGTAGGGTCTGTTGCCTTTAAATGGTTCAAACTGTTTTTGGATTGGAATCCATGTTGTATTGATATGGAGAGCCTCCTTCCATGAAGTCCAAAGGCGTTCAGCCACGAAATAACCTAGCCAAGTTACAAAATCACTGGATTTCTTTATCCATCTCTTACCACCTGCAGAATTGGTATTCTAATAGCTTGTTCTATTACAACTAGGGATGCCAGGTCTGGGTTGAGAAATACCTGGATATTTGGGGGGTGGAGTCTGGAGAGGGTGGGATTTTGGGAGGGGAGGAACCTCAGCAGTCCACCCTCTAAAGCAGCTATTTTCTCCAGGGGAGCTTTATTCTCTGATGAGTTATGCCTGCCAGTATGTATGGCTGCGAGAGTTGGACTATAAGGAAGGCTGTGCGCCGAAGAATAGATTCTTTTGAACTATGGTGCTGGAGAAGACTCTGGAGAGTCCCTTGAACTGCAAGGAGATCAAATCAGTCAATCCTAAAAGAAATCAACCCTGACTGTTCCCTGGAAGGCCAGAGACTGAAGCTGAAGCCAATACTTTGGCCACCCAATGAGAAGGGAGCACTCACTGGAGAAGACCCTGATGCTGGGAAAGATGGAAAGTAAAAGAAGACGGGGACGGCAAAGGATGAAATGGTTAGACAGTGTTATGGATGCAATGAACATGAAATTAAGCAAACGACTGAAGACAGGAGGGCCTGGTGTGATGTGGTCCATGGGGTCGCAAAAAGTCGGACTCGACTGCAACTGAACAACAACAACATAACCTCTTGTGGGCTAGAGTCCATTTTATCACTGGCCTGTGAAAGCTTATAGCATAATAAATGGGTCTTCCCAAACCTATGGTGAAGCCAGTTAGGATATCCAGGACAGGGCATACCGTAAGTAAGTATCCCTTTGCAAAATCAAAAGTGGTTCTGTCAGTTGCCTCATATCAGCTTGATTTGAGTCCAGAGCAATGTTCCCTCTAAGCTGTGGAGTCTTGTGAGCAAAAATTCTGGTTGGTGAGCTACTGACATTAAAGTTGTGAGCAAGCGACTTTGGCTACTGCATAAATTAGTTTGCTCTGGAGCCATCCTTCCTGAGCTAAGACAGAAATGTGTGAGCCAGAGGCTAAAAACCTGTGAGCTAGCTCACACTAACTCTAAAGTGCGGTGCTGCTCGTTAGGGTGTGGGGTGCAGGGTTCACGATACAAAGACGACAGGACACAAGCTTGCAGGAACTGTCAGGAACTGACTGAAACCTCTCGGCTTCAAGCTTTTATTTTATACACATTTTTCCCCCCTTTAAGCATTAGAGCATCCTTAAGGAATGTTTGTGTGTGTGTGTGTGTGTGTTCTCGTTCTCTTAGGCAAGCTCTCTGTTATCTGCCTTTCTTAAGGCTAACTCACTGCGTAGTTAGCAGTAAACAGATTCCATCTCGGCCTCTCATGACGTATAAGTATTTCAGCTCCCAACCTCCAGCCAGGAGATTTCCGCACTGCTTTCCTACACTAAAGCTTAGAGGGAACACTGGTCCAGCGTCTGGTAGCATCTTAGAGACCAGCAAGAGCTCCAGGGTATCAGCTGTCTAGAGTCAAAGCTCTCTTTGTCACCTAATTCAAATCCTCACCCTGCTTTAGAACAGTTAGATTTGAGTCCACTAGCACCTTGTAGAGACCAACACGAGTTGGCCTTATACCAGCTTGTTCATTCTTATTTTGCTTTTCAGGCAAAAATTGTCTTCCAGAACAGCTCACACTGTCCTTCGCAGCGGTAATTGGCATAAGACTCGGGCTTTGCTATTGGATTCAAGAGTGAAAACGCAAGACATTCCACAGGAGAGCAGGTGAGAAAACAAACAGAGAAGGCAGATGCCAGAATGAAATTACAAGCTGTTAACACATGTTGCTCATCTGGCCGGGGTCAGGCTGATCTTCCCTTACTGATGTCCTTGCTGGCAGGGGAGTGGTGTAGCTACTTAGCAGCTCTTCTTCTTCTTCTCTGACCAGGGCAGAGGCCAAGAGTTTCCTGTAGCTAATGCAGTAACAGTGGGTTGCCAGCTCTGGGCTAAGAAATTCCTGGAGATTCGGGGGGTGCATCCTGAAGGTAGTGGTGTTTGGGGAAGGGGGACCTCCATGGGGTGTAATGCCGTAGAGTCTACTCTCCAAAGTAGCCATTTTGTCCAGGGGAACTGATCTCTTTCGTCTGGAGATCAGTTGTAATTCTGGGAGGTCTCCAGGCCCCACCTGGAGGCTGGCAGTCCTGTTGGTAGTGGAAGGCTCCACTGCAGTCATATTTATGCACTGTGTACAACTGGATTTCTCCTCGAAACTTTTATCCTCTGTCCCTTTCTTCAGTACAAGAAGGCATCCACGACTGGTACAGACTTCTTAAATGTGTTGTGTTCGCCTGAGCTTAGTTTGCACCTTTTCAAAAAATCTTTTTCCTGAGCTATGAAATAACCAACTCTAGAAGTCATTGTTTGGTGCTCTTGTTTGTATTTACTGTTTTCACAGCCAAATTCAGTATTTTGTTTCCTGTAGAACGCTGGACAATCAGTGTTCCCTCTAAGCTGAGTTAGTCTGAGCTAGCTCACGGTTTTTTAGCCTCTGGCTCACACATTGTTGTCTTCGCTCCAGAAGGATGATTCCAAAGCAAACTAAGTTATGCAGTAGCCAAATCGTTCACTCACAACTTTAATGCCAGCAGCTCACAAAGTAGAATCTTTGCCCACAAGACTCCACAGCGTAGAGGGAACATTGCTGGAAATTGCCTTTAGGGCCCACAGTATTGTTTGTTCATAGAGCAGTGAAAGGAATGCAGCCTTGTCAGTCCTGCACTCATTCTCGATGCATAAGAGATTCAAAACAAAACATGTAGAGCAGGGTCCCCCCCCCAATTCTCCGCATTCTGCATGTTCAGCATAGCGCACTAGAAGCAAAACAGTATGAGTCACAGGAAGTTGGTTTTCGAGATCCAAATCAGATGCCTCTAGTAAAAGAAGGGTGCTCCCAAAGAGCACAATGTCAACATCTTGAATAATTAGAGATTATATTCTGTCTCCTGTGGTATGGGGTAGATTCCAAAATATTTTCTGGGGGCAATTTTCTGATCAAACCTGAGGTGTGATGTTGGCCTTCCCTGCCCTGATTTTCCTGTTGATTGAATAAGTTTCTGTTTTTATGAATTTTACTATTAAAACTCACTCCACAACCCAGAATATATTTTTTTCTTCTCCTTCCTTTTCCGTTTTATTTTGGAGTGATATGTATGTAGAATGTATTAAATAAACTTTAAAAAGCAACAAACAAACAAAAAAGAAATTATGTTATTTTCATTATCTTTTAAAAAAAATTTGTAAACGATAAGCAAGGAGAACCCCTGTCGCAATCCTATGTACACATGCTTCCAAGGAAGCGTTGCATAGGATCAGGCTAGAATTCCTAGGACTGCATCCTCTGCTGGGGATGCCAGCCTACAGGTGGGACCTGGGGAATCCCCAGAGTTACAGCTCATCTCCCGACTACAGAGATCAGGCCCCCTGGAGAAAATGGATGCTTTGGAGGGTGGACTAGTAGGCGGAAGATAGGAATTTATAAGTAAAGGCTGTCTTTAGCCCACGTAAGAATGACGGCCGTTGCTAAATGATCCAAAGGACCTAACTCCATACAGTTTACTTTTAAAGATGTAGCAATAAGAATGCCCAAACCCCCTTTAAGTCTACCTGGGCCCCGGTCTGGGACAGCCTTTACGGCATATGTGTGGTAGCCATCTAATTCTAGGGCCACTGCGGTCCAGGTTTCTTGGAGCATAATAACATCAACATTTTGTCAAAAGAAAGGAATATCTGGAGAGTAGGATTGGCACCTAGAACGACCCGCTATATCCCAAGAGAGCATAATAACATCACATTTCTGGAATTGTCTCTAAATCACCCTTTGTATCATAAACTATACACCCATTTTTAAGCAGATAACTACGGTTTGTTCACTCCAAATAGCTGAATGCTGCATGACGTTCTCCTGTGGACAATTGATGGGCTGTTCATAGAGATGTAAAATTTCCGGAATTTTTGAAACTTGGGGGGAAAAAACAGTTTTTTTCCCGGGTTTTTTTTGGGGGGGGATGGAAATTTTTGGAAAAATTGAAAAAAATGCTACATTAGCACTTCTTTTTTTGTTTTCCAGAGTGAAAGTCATTCTGTTACTTTAGAAACAAAAAATACGACCATGGACATTTTTTCTTGGCATGAAATTATCACAACTAGCATATTAAAAACATAGTGTATCCAAATAATTATTACAAACAGAATACCCACCCACATGCAAAAACAAAACTGAAACCTTTTTCTTTTCTTGTGACAATCGCACCTCCTAAAGGAAGAAATGCATCTTGTTCTTGCATTGGACAGTTCAGTTTGTAACCTAGGACTTGCTTGTCCTCAGTGCACAAAAATTAGATCAATCTGATACCATACATATTTTTTAGAAATGATTTGGAAAATATTTGAACACCTTGTCTTAAAATATTTTATTCATCATGTTAAAATAAAACGTTCCATAATCAATTTTCTTCTTTTCTTTTTTCAATTTTTCCAATTTTTCGGGAAAAGACAAAGAAGGCTTCACTATTACAATTGATCTCCAGGCTACGGAGATTGGTTCCCCTGGAGAAAATGGCTGCTTTGGAGGGTGGACTCTCTGGCATGATACCCTGCTGAGGCCCCTCCCCTCCCCAAATCCCGCCCACCCCGGGCTCCGTCCCCCAAATCTCCAGTTATTTCCCAACCCGGAGCTGGCAACCCTAGTCACCTAGCATCTGTTTTCCTTTTTTGACTCTTAGCTGCTACACGACACTGGCTTATAGTTTCACAAGGCGGTGTCCAGTTTTAGAGTTAGCATAATTTTCGAATGTCGATGTAGGGGAGTCCTTCAAGACAGAGGAATGTGCCTCAGAGTACCAGGTGCTGAGGATAAAAGGCTTTCTCTTTAATACCTTTCTTGTAAATTTTCAGTGGCTGCCATCTGAGAATTGCTGGGTTAGACTGACCATCCAGCAAGGGCGTTCTCAAATCCTTGTGAATGCTGAAGCGGCAATAAAATTATATAAAGGACTTATAGAAAGATAAAATCTTATAAAGAAATCTGAGAGAAAGTATTTAACCATACAACCTTCAGTCACTGTGTGTTACCGTGCCCTTGAGGGGCCCCTGCATTTGTCAGTGTCCCCAGAGAAATGGGACGGGTGCTGTCTCTTTGCCGACAGAACTGGTGTTGCTTCTGTCACCGACTCTGCTGCTTCTCTAGGGAATCGTGGTAGAAAATCATTTGCTTTCCCTGAAATGTCTTTCGGCCTTCATTCTCACAGCCTGGAAGTAAAGAGGGTGAATCCTGCTCATGTCCTGCCGCTCCACTGTACAATGTTTGTTTATGTGTTTAAATATTTATACCCCACCTTTCCTTTGGGTTCAGATATGAAGCTTTTCTCCAACTTAAGTAGATCTTCCATTGGAGGAAGGCTAGGAAGGCTGGATCCATCCCATGGGATATCAGACTTTCCCCCCTCAACTGCACTTCTAGGGATTTTGGTGTAGTGGTTAAGTGTGCGGACTCTAATCTGGGAGAACCGGGTTTGATTCCCCACTCCACTTGCAGCTGCTGGATGATCTTGGGCAAGCCATAGTTCTGATAAGAGCTGTCCTTGAAAAAGAGCAGTTTCTGTCAGAGCTCTCTCAGCCCCAGCTACCTCACAGGGTGTCTGTTGTGGGGAGGGGAGGGAAAAGGAGTTTGTAAGCTGCTCTGAGACTCCGAGTGAAGGGCGGGGTATCAATCCAATCTCTTCTCTTCTTCTTCCACCAGTCTGTGTTCCCACTTCACTACTTTCTGCGGTAATCGTTTAAAATTGCAAGCATGTCTTGAGTAAAGAGTAGAACCCTGAAGACTGACCATAAAAGCAACCTACATAAACAGTAACTCTGTTTAGGATTGCACTGCTAATGTTTTAACATTCCCCAAAGGCAAAAGATAGGGACATAACGGGGCATTGACTTGCCAGGTACAGGTATCAGAAAATGGTGAACAGTCGTGGGGTGGAAACTCTGCACTCACACACTGAAGCTTGTAAGAATGGACCTACCTCTGCTCCCCACACCCCGTTGGTGGCCAGGGGGGACCTTGATGCACAAACCTGTGCCTGCGTGCTCCCGTTGCCGAATTGGAAACACACAGTCGGAGTCCAACGAGTTAGATGAATATCTGTTTATTGCAATGGAAACAGGGAATATGGCGTTGAGTGCCTTTGCACTTCAGCCATTCCAAAGCTGTATTCTGCCATAACCAGGAAGGGCAGAAGGTCTTATACCCCAAATGACGTCACATATAGTTTACACATTAAAGAGTCTCTGATTGGAGCCCAGCAGGTAACATCATAGAAGCATCACTTGACGGGGGGGATTTACAACGGTATAGGTGCCGGTTCCAACCGGTGTACTTACCGGCGTTCAGACGGCAAACATCTGCCTCCCGTCCCTAACCGTTGTAAATCCCTTTAAACCGTTGCACTCTGCCACTAGGTCCCCAAGTGGTGGTATACTGAGTGCAACGGTTGCTTTCGATGTACCCCTCCATCTGATCGCTGTCCACCGATGTCTAGCCATTTCCGTCGGAAGCCTGAGACTTCCGATTTTCCCCCGCCATTTTTTTTTAACTGAGCGATATGCGCTTGGGCGAAGCTTCGCCCTGAGCGTTTGTTTAAAAAAAAAAAAAAAAGCCCTTAGTGTAGTGTTTCGGAGGAGTCCGGGACTACAGGGAGGCCAGTTTGGACTTTAAACTTTAAAGGTAAGTCCTTACCTTTAAAGTTTAAATGTAATATGGGGTGTTTTGAGCATGCGCAAAGATCGCCATTCTGTGAATGGCTGCCTATGCGCATGCTCAAACTGTGTTTAAAAAACAAAACAAAACACCGACGCCCGCAGCGTGTGAGCGGGCATACACCGATGGGATCCGCAAAATGGAGGTAAGCGTGATCCCGTTTCAGCCGGCATAAACTGCACCGGTTCCAACCGGTACAGTTTATGCCGGCTGAAACACCGCGTCTGAACGCACCCAGTGCGTCTCTCATTGGTTTCAGTAATTACCATTCCTTGTCTCCAGAACAATGCGAAACACTGAAGAACACCGGCAGGACCCTTTCTGGCCTTGCTGAAGTCAGCCTCCTGCCTCGCTTCTGGAGAGCTAGCCGATAAGGGCTGTGACTCACATTAAGCCTAGCTCTTGTCAGGTTTCCCGGTACCAGATGTTTTGAGAACACTTCCAGAGTTAACCGTCCTTCTTTCATCTGGGCTAAATACCAAAATCTGAATTTACTATTATTAAACTCTTGTGAGGGCACAGTGACAGCTGTCAGCGTATAAACATGTCAGAGGAAATGTCAGAACTCACATTCAGAACTCACATTCATTTTTCCCTTGTCCTACAACCTGGCACCCCTACTCTGACTCCAGCTCCAGGGGACCAAAAGCAGCTGCATGTTGTCCTTGGGTGCCGACCAGACACAAAGAGGGGTTGATGGTCTTGGGGAGCTGTTCATATGAGAAACACAGAATTTAAAAAATGGAACAGGTGATGCATGAAGGGAAATAACGCCTGTGTATTCTTTCTAACTTTGTGTGTCTCTGTTTCTTAGGAGGCTGTGAAATGTGAATCTGGAATTGGGAGACTGTAAAAGGGGAAAACCAGAGAGCTATTTGGACACCATGATTTTAAAACAGGTAAAAATAATCGCTGTCCTCACTGTAGGATTCAGAGACCAGTTTCCTTTCGCTTCCAGGTGCTTAGCCAATTTATTTTTCTCTCAAAACGAAGTTATACTGAGGAGAAAAGGGAACATTTTCCCTATCAGCTCTTAGATTTTAAGAGGATTAGAATAAAGGACCCTCCAGACAATACAATCAATTTTATTTATGATTCACAATTATAACAATTTCCCCCCCCCCCCCCTCCCTGCCCCCAGGTCCCGCTTCCCACCACCTCTCAGAGCAGTTGGGGGGTGGGGGGGAATTTAAAAGTGTACTTACCATATGTTCTTACCAGAAATGACAAAGGTTTTGCTGCAGAATTTCTGGTGATTCCCAGAGCTGTCTTTTGGCACTTCTCATAACAACTTCTGGTTAAGTACACAAGGCTGCATTTTTGTTTTTTAAATTCTCCTGCAATGCCGCCTCCCTCCCACCTGTTTCTGGGGCTTTTACCAGGTATGTCCTTTGTTGTGATCACCCTGACATGGCTACTCCTTTCCAGTGAAACAAGATCTGCTGGCCAAACAGCTTTTCTGCAAAGGGCTGCTGTGAAGGAGAGAATGGTGGGGGAGGAAACCCACTCCCCGCGTTACATATATGTGAACTGAGTACATTGCTTTCCGTTGTTCATAAACCAGACTTCTTGCAGTTTGCCGCTGTGCCTGTGTCCCTTTCCTCCTTCAACAGGAGATACGTTTGTTTAAAGAATGTATAGGGTGCCTCTCCAGGGACCCGCTTGAGGTGGCGATCAAGATAAAAAGGATTCCATTAAGTGAGAGCATAAAGTCATAGGGCAGGGGTCTTTTTGTAGAAAAAGAGCTGCCGGAGCTCATTAGCATAACTCATTAGCATATGCCACACCCCCTGACATCACCGGAAGTGTGTCATAGGCCACACCCCCTGACATCACCGGAAGTGTGTCATAAGGCCACACCCCCTGACATCACCGGAACCTCATGATGACTGGTTTTTGTTTCTTGTCCTTGGCCCTTTCCGTCTGTTGGTTATGATCCAGCTCCCCCTCTTCCTGTCACATGACTCTGATATAACATCCCGGGATGCTCCTTTGTGAGCGACTGGCATTAAAGCTATGAGTGAGCAATTTGGCTACTGCATAAATTAATTTGCTCTGGAGGCATCTTTCCTGAATTAAGACAAAAATGTATGAGCCAGAGGCTAAAAAACTGTTAGCTACCTTGCACTTAGAGGAAACACTGGACAAAACCCAGGTGCCCTCAGGAGGTCCATCAGCAGGGCCAAAACTCCAGGAGCCCTCCCACTCTTGCCCCCCAAGCACCAAGAATGCAGAGCATCACTGCGCCAGACATAAGGAGAAGCCATGTTGGATCAGGCCAGTGGCCCCTCCAGTCCAACACTCTGTGTCACACATCAGCCAAAAATACCAGGTGCCCTCCCACTCTTGCCCCCCAAGCACCAAGAATACAGAGCATCCCTTGCCCCAGACATAAGAACATAAGAGAAGCCAATGCTGGATCAGGCCAATGGCCCCTCTAGTCCAACACTCTGTTACACAGGGGCCAAAAATAC